CACTGAGGTCAGACTGACAGGCCTGTAGTTCCCCAGATCCTCCTTCTGGCCCTTCTTATCGATGGGTGTTATATTGGCCATCCTCCAGTCACCTGGGACCTCCTCTGTTAGCCAGGACTGCTGATAGATGATGGAGAGTGGCTTGGCCAGCTCCTCTGCCAATTCTCTCAGTACTCTTGGGTAGATCCCATCCGGCCGCATGGACTTGTGAGTGTCCAGGTGGTGCAGCAGGTTGTCAACTGCTTCCTCCTGGATTATGGGAGGTTTATTCTGCTCTCCATCGCTGTCTTCCAGCTCAGGAGGCTGAATACCCTGGGAATACCTGGTCTTACTATTAAAGACTGAGGTGAAGAAGGCATCAGGTACCTCAGTCGTCTTCTCATCCTGGGTGGTAATGTTTCCCCCTGCATCCAATAAGGGATGGAGATGTGCTTTAAGGACAGCCTTCTCAAAATGGAGATTTATAACATGAAATAGGGTTTGGGGGTTCGTTTTTTTAGGTTTTGTTAGGAAACTTAGATTGTTACCACTCTCTCCTCTAACATCTCAGTCCTTAGTCCTACTGTTCTCTTTTCTGGAAAACCCAAGCCTGATGCCCTTCCTGTGCTAGTACTTCTACTGTCATAAACATGGAGGTTATGCTACCTATGTCTTCAAAGAAGAGATTACGTTAAATACTAGGGGATTTGTAGTAGGGCGCAGATCTACTTTGGAAAGGGAATGGGTTAATAGTTATTTTTCAATTCTGAAATTAGGACTCTCTGAAACTCAATTTTTTTTTTTTTTTTAAAAGCATGCATATTGAAATCATTGCATGTTTATAAGTGATAATTCTGGTATTTGAATAGTTGAATTTCTTACAGTACTGAGAAAAAATAGGATAAAATCATTTTGGTAAGTGTGAAAGAATTGCATAAGATCGTATATAGCAAGGTGTATGTGCAGCTTTAGGTAGAGAGTGAAGTATGTGAATCTTTACATGTGTTTTTTGAAATCTTACTGAGAAATAGACAATATGTCTGCTTAAACAGAGAATCATTATTACTTAAGAAGTGTGACTACCTTAAAACTTTGAATGTGAGATATACAGCACTATTTAAATAACGAGCATTAAGTTAAAGCTACTCTTGGACATATTTGTGATGATTTTTTTTTTGTCACTTAATTGCATGAGTTCTCCTTTCTGTCAGATTTGTTGCCTCGTTCCGAAACACTAAAAATACAATAAAACTGTGATACTACTACTTTATCGCTGTGAGTTAAGTTGTGAAGGTAGCAGAGCAGAAAATGCAGGTGGAATATTATCATTTTCATACTTTTATAATGATAACTTTTCATTGCTCTGTATGACTTAACCTGAATAATGGAAATTGAACTATGACTTGGTATTTCTAAAAAGAAGACACTAGTAATTCAGAAACAAAAATGATTGCTGAATTTTACTGTATAACAGGTAGCACTCTTCAGCATGATGGTGGTATTTTAACATTGTAATAATACATCAAAAAATGAGACGAATGTAAGCCTTTCTACTATCTATAGGATTCACTAGCTGAAGTTGAAGAGAAGTACAAGAAAGCTATGGTTTCCAATGCTCAGCTAGACAATGAGAAAAACAACTTGATTTACCAAGTGGATACCCTAAAGGATGTCATTGAGGAGAAAGAAGAACAGATAGCAGAGTTCTACAGGGAGAATGAAGAGAAGTCAAAGGTACTGATCTTTAACAATTTTTTTTTGTAGGTAATATGGATAAACCATAGAAGCTTAGTAAGAACTTAGTCTTACTAAGACTGCTTAGTAAGAACAGTTGAAAACTCGCGGATTAGTGGAAAAGTCTGTGGCCAAAGATGTTTTGAGTATTGTCTTTTGGTTTTCTTTTTAAAAAAACCAATCACTTGCCCAAAAACCAAACCACTCCTCCCCCAACCAAACAAATCCCAAAACACATCCCAACCCCAAGCACACCACCCCAATTAAATGCAAATTAATTCCATTTAATTAATGCAACACAGTAATGAGAAAGTATGCATTTGAATCGGACATGTTCAGTCCCACTTTCTTGGAAAGTGAAGATCTGTGTGGCTGCTTTTCCCAGCAATATTTAGATAAATTTAATATCTGAGCTTTCTCGTTAATATTGTGCTTAAACCTTTATGGCATCTTTTCTCTCCACTCTGAATTTTACTCAGTAAAATCTTCTGCATAGTAAGTATCTGGAGAACTTACCTAAAACACTGATTCTGTGATTTTTTTGGCCACTTGGTAGGTAGAATTTCTAAAGTTGTTGCAATAATTTCTTAGGTAATGTTATGTTAAGCCATATTACTAACTTTTTTAAACTGTATATTGAAAATGAGTGTCAGCCTCAAAATAAATAAATCATTAATTTATTTAATATAGGAATTGGAAAGGCAGAAACACACGTGCAGTGTTCTGCAGCATAAGCTGGATGAACTTAAAGAGGGCCTTCGACAGAGAGATGAATTGATAGAGGTATGTTAATATGAGAATAGAGTATGACAGAACTTGTGCAAGTAGATATGGTGTAAGATTTGAATGGGAACAGCAATCATACACAGAATGATTTTAAATACTCTCTCACATGTTTAAGAAAGAATTTATCTTGTTTTAGTGGGTGCAATTTAAGCTATCAATCTCTCAGTTCATAAAGATGAAAATGTCTCGCAGAGTTTTCAAATGTGTGAAATCCCAAATCGTGATTCTCTCATGAATGTTCCTTGTATCTGTCCTTTCTTGTGGGGGCAGAACTAATGTTTGTATAGCCAGAAGTTCTGATGCATGGATAATACCAAATATTATTCTTTGCCTTTCCCAAAAGGTTCCTTTTCAGTTATTTCAGATTTTTGTGAGCATCAACCACTGAAGTTTGTGGTAGCCAATGTTTGTTTGCTTACCAGTCGAGCATAAATATAGCAACACTAGTCATTATGTTACTGGGTCATAGCCATGTTGCTGAGTGTGTGGTGTCTTATTTTCTTTTCCCCTGTCCTCCCTTTGATTTGTTTCCAGAAGAAATGTGCCCTAAAATCCCAGAGCTATTACCAGTCTTAATTTTAAAATGGTCCACAAAGATATATATTGTCAACAATATGCAGGTGTCCATTTCCCATTGATTTTGATTCTAGCACCGTAAATTGTAGTTCGATTAGTACGTCATTTTCCCACTGCCTTTTGGTTTCAGTAAAAAAATGACGATTTTAAGTGTATAGGCCACAGTTTCCACTACCCGATTTTCAAAAGCTATATAATATTGCATTTGGTTTATCAATTTCTTTCCGCATTAAGTTCTTGTGCTCTCCAGGCAGTAGTACAGTAACTCCAAAAGACTTCTGAAAAGTCCTGGTTCTGCTGTAGTTACTGAGAAAATAATGTGCTTCTTAAACTGGAGTTGATACGACTTACTAGCAGAAGAAAAGGTGTAAGATTAGCCCAAGAACCAGTATTTTGCAGATTAAGGCTGACAGGCAAAAACTTGGCAAATTCTGGTGGTAGTTCTGTCACTTACTCTGGATTCTTTTTGACTTCACTGTGAAGGAAAAAAAAACACTTTATATTTTCTCCTTTGGTGGTGGTTGTTTTATTAAAGTATGTGAATCAAAAATATACAGTAGATTTGTCTGGAGTGTTTGCTTTGGTAGCACGTAGCATATGTGTGTTGAATGTTCACTAAAGGCATGCAGTCCCTTCAAAGATAAAGACAATTTGCTCCAAACTTAACATTTATTTGAGTAACTTCTCCATCTATTAACACTGACAGATAATCTATCTGAAGCCATTTAGCTTTTTACAGAAAGACATTGTCTTCCATTCCCAGATGTAACATCAAGTTCGCTCATTAGGAACGCAAAAAATTATCTCTAGCCCTAAAAATTCTTATGTCATCCTCATACATAATTATATGAGCATAGCAAAGAATTTTAGTTCTGTTTGCAGGGCAAACAGCAAAATGCAGTGTTAGATAAATAGGACCACACTTGATATGTATTAATACAGTATCAGAAAGAAGTCTGCAGCCATGTTTCGCTTCCTGCATCCTTGATTCACACTTCCTTCGTTACACTTTCTCTAAAGTTTTCTGTGATGTTAACAAGTGGTTTTATTAATATTTTACATAAGTGTTCACTTCCAAATAGGACTTGAAGGTATTTGTAAATTAGCACAGTGTAATTATTTTCCTAAAGAAAGGACATTATCCCCAGTCTGCAATGGGAACTGTTACTAAAGAAAAACAGCTCTAGTTGCGCTAAATTCTCCCATCAACATGAAATGATTGAATAAAACTAATTACCGTTCTCTTGCATGAATTCGTAAGGGAAATACTATGTTATGCTTGGTAGCACCCTTTTTCTTTAATTTCATACTCATCAAGTCTTTGGTTAACTTTTACTATTTAATTTCCTTTATCTTTTTGAATGTTATTTTCTTACTTCTCTTTCCTCTTTTATTCCTCCCTCATCCTATTTACTACAGGAGAATCAACGCATGCAGCAGAATATAGACTCCATAACCAAAGAGGTGTTTGATCTCCAGGAGACAATTAATTGGAAAGATAAAAAAATAGGGGTATGAAACAAATATGGGGGGAAAGTATTCTTTCTTTTTAGAAGTAGATGGGTGCCCCCCACCCCCCAAGGAATGCTGTGTACTCCAAAGAAATGAAGGCCGTTCCCAACTGACATATTTAAAACATTTTAGTCTTTCTCTTATTTAGAAAATGAGCTTCACTTTATGTTTGTGTATTGATGAACAATACTAATTAAATCTATAACATTATACACTGTTATGCATACAACTTTATAATTTGTACAAAATATTTTTACCTGTAATCAGGGCTTGAAAAAGTCATCATTTCCTTATTCTTAGCAAATGTAAAAATTGTCTGGGTCTGTATATTGATCCATAGTGACATACCAATATCTTTTTATACAGATTTGAAATTAATTTTAAAGCTTTTAATCTCCTTAGAGGCAAATACAACTTTCAAAGCCTTGAACAGTTTAAACCTTGCTTGCGATTTGGCTCCTGCCTCTATTGTCATCTTAATTTGCATAACACTTGTGATGGATTTAAAAATGATCTGCTTTCCACTGCCTGGATGAGACACAAAATACCCTAAACAATGGAAAGCCTAGGGAGGTGCAAGATCTAAGGGTCAAAATGTAGAGAAGACTCAGTGAAGATTTGTAGATTGTGCTTGCATTTGGCATAGCTAGTGCTAAAAAATACGGTCTTGAATTAACTTTCTGCAGCCACACTTGCACATTCCTGTGTTGCACTTCTGACCCTTCTAGAGCTGGCTAGCTTGGGTGCGACACCGAACCAAGAAGATTTTATGATACAGCAAACAAAATACCCCAGTTACTGACTATTGGAATTGAGAGTTGGAATCGAAACAGTGGTTGTCTGGGGCTTTTTGAGGAGCATTTGCAGGGCTCCTGCATAGAAAGAACGATGGTAGAGGAAGAACTGAGTTGATACGCACTACGCAGCTAGTGTAGCTCAGACAGAGTTTGTCCGCTTTGCTTCTGGGCAATACAGAAGCGGTGAAACTGTCAGAGTCAGCCTGATCCTGGGTGATCACTACATGGCTCTGAACCTGTGGCCGTTGCGGGCTGCGAGTAGATTGCCTGGTGGTGAGAGGGACTTAGCTGGAAAGCCTTTAGAAAGGAATCGTCTGCCTGTTAGTAACTCTGGGGTCATTTCTAACTAAATGACTTCTACACCAGATTGACATATGCAGATTTCTTTGAAAAATGCTGTATTTGCTGGAGTTCACATCACTTTTGACAAGTTCTCTTTTAATTAGTGGTGCCTGGTTAAAAAAAGCCCTTTTATACTGTCTTTATTCAGTCCATATTTATTTCATGTTTCAGTCCTTCAATCCATATTGCAATCGTCTCTTCCATCATAAAATAATACTTCAATGTTTTTCAGTGTTTTCTGAGCAATCTTCTAAACGTTTTTTTATCTTTAATCATATTGTTCCCATACTTACTCTTCACATTTGTGCACTGAACTCTCTCAATTTGTGCAATTTTTTGTGCAAGCACTTTTTTCTGTCAAATACATTGCCAGAGTTAGTACAAAGCATATCATTTATCTAATGTTCAAAAAAAAAAAAAAGCTACCAGCCAGACTGACGAGAAAGATATTTGCTCCTTTAGCTGAATTTTCCCTGCCAGTTTCTGTGTTCTTCTAAACACCATAACTGGATTTTTTTCTAGGTTTTTTTACCATCTTAGAATTGAAATATCTTAATTTTTAAAAATGTAAAAATGCTGTTGTCTTTTATTTCTTACTTCTGTTATCTAAAAACATTTATATACTTCTATTAGCTCAGAGTTTTTGAATCTGTCCCCAATACTGAGTACCTTTTCGAATTTTTATTCTAGTCCAGCTTCAGAAAGGAGTAGTTTGTAACTACAATTGTAACCTGGTTTTACAACCTATGCAAGACTGATGCTGCCTCAGAGGAAGAAAGCGAGGCAAGCAGAACAGAGATAGCATGAGTCTTTTACACCTGCCTGTTGTCCTGTTTCTACGAAGTGATTGAAATTTGCAGTTATATTTGGTTTTCAATTAGATGAATTTGAGGACACTGAACTATAACTTCCAGGTTACATTCTTGAAATATACAGCTATTTTACTGTTCTGTGGCTCCAAATTGTACATGCATTGCCAATTTGAAATTAACAATGGTGTGTCGGAGTTTAGTATAGATTTCGTTAAGGTTTTTGGAATATTTAGAAAGTAGGACCACAGCCAAATGTGCTTTCTGCCAAGTGATCGGATTTTAATCGTACTGGTGTGTTAAAACATGCCTGCAGAGCTTAGTTGTCCTGATTTTTGTTCCCTCCCCTCCCTATTGCCCCATGATAGAAGAGCTGCAGGACTAGATTTAGTACAAAATCCATGTAATGTATTGTAACCCCTAAGCGTATGAACGCTAGCAGTTTTACTAAAGTTCTTCAACACTGAATAATGATTACTAATCTCTTCATGGTGGTGATGGTAGTTATATTGGTTTCACTTCCTTCCCCATGAAAATTTTCTGATTTCCAACACTTGCACCTAAGAGGTGAGGATAGAAAGGATGTTTAGGGAAGGTCAGCAGCATCACAGGGCACTGCCAAGCACACAGAGGATCTGTGTCTGCAGTGGGATTCTGGGCGTTTGTGTCCATTCTCTCAAGTGGGTGAGCTTACTTCCCTCTCTGTCTCTGCTGCTGTACTTCAAAAACAGAAAAGGTGTATGTTATCTTTAAATGTAACAGAAAATGATGTAGTGATTAAGGTTCTTCACACTGTTTATCATGTAGTTATAGAGATCTAGTATATGTTAGGAAATAAAAGGGCATTCTATGACTTCTTAAATTATGATGTGACAGCTAATGCTTTCACACATGTTGACTTACCTGTGTTTTAAATGTTACGCTTACATACTAATAGGTCAAGTGCAACAGCAGTTAAATTTTTCTGTTGAAATTAAGAGTAATGCAGTATTACGTTGCTCTACTATGCAGATTCTAGATAATTACTAAAATTCACCATACTGCAATTGTTACCTGGAACAATTATAGTGCAAAGGTATACACCTTCATTTCTTTCTTCCTATCAGTCCATTCCTAAACATTCATGCATGATGCAAGGTTTAGCTGGATAATTTTCCTGGCAAAATGTGTGTGTACGCTTTTGCAGTTGCTGTATGGTCAGGATTGTTTGTAATGCATGCAGTTTTGAATTTGAATGGAATACTGGGATGCTGCCCAGTCAAGTGAAAGTATCTGACTAATTGCCAGGTAACACAGCTCCAGCATAGGTAGGCAAACCCATCTGCGTCCATATTGTGCTTTTTTAGCTGCAATCCTTTCTTGTGCTATAATAGTACTCCTAGTGTTTCCTGGGGTTTTTTCCTCTAAAACCAATTGCTTTGGTTTTAGTAAAGTATGGTTGTAATACTTAAGCAAGCAGTAAATAAACTAGTTTTTGCAAGTGGAGTTCAGGCTTATATATCCAAGGTCTTTTATGAGGTAAGATTTTTACTGCTCTACCTTATAAAAGGTAGAGAAACTAGTTCACTGAATGTAATGTTTTAGAATCTTTGTCAATTGAATTTCAGCAAATTTTATTTCTGGCCACATAGTGCCTGTGTTAAGAAGAATCACTTACTCTTTTGGTATTCAGTTTAGTTATCAAAATCTAGCAAAAATAGTCCACTAAATAAAAATCTATTATAGAATATACAAGGACTCACCTGGGAAAAAAATGTCATGACAAGCATGCAGCAATGAGGCTAGATATGTGACTTGTATAAGGTAGTTATCAGAGATGTATGTTTATGTATATTTTAAACATCCCTTTTAGTTTCTTTACTTTTATTGAGCTCTTTGTATTTACTTGTAGAAAATCTGTCTGCTATCTGTCATACGCTTTTTCTCTGTGCCATTCTTTTTCTTGCTATCTGCCTGAACCCAGGCCCTAGAAAGACAGAAAGATTACTTTGACTGCATTAAGAATGAGCGAGATGAGCTCAGAGAGGAGTTGGCTGACCTGAAGGAAACAATGAAGAGAGGAGAGGTACGTTGGTAGTAGTTACTTTGCAGTAATAGAAATCCAGGAATGGGGCATGAAATCAAGGTCAATAAAAAAGAGGAAGAATCGTTACTATTCTTGTGCACTCTCAAAAGCTGACCTTAGGGTAGGATTAATGGTGCGTTTCACTGTAACTGTTTTGATCAACTTGAAAAGCTTTTTAAAATCTTCTCTGTCCAATTATATTTTAGTACTTCTCTCATATAAGTAGGCTTTTTCTTTTGTATTTTTAGAAACATGGATTAGTTATAATTCCAGATGGCACACCAAATGGCGATGTAAACCATGAATCAGTGGTTGGTGCAATAACAGTTGTATCACAGGAAGCTGCTCAAGTATTGGAATCTGCAGGGGAAGGACCATTAGGTAAAAAGATCCTAACCTACTTTATAGAGTGTTTGAAGTCTTTGTTTCCTTCCTGTTCACAGTGGGTTGTGATTTACAGCCACAAAATATACCTGTGATGCTTCTGGAATACATGCTTACACACCTTTCAAGATTGTGATTTCTTTTTTTTTTAATGCCGAATAAAAAGATAGATGTATCTTTTGAGTAAACAAAACAAAACAGTATGTGCTTGGATGATTGTAACTGATCAGATCTCTCAATCCAGTTTCTCTTTTATTACTGTCAGAAAATATCTTTCCTAAAAATGTAGTCTTTTGTATTAGCATGTTTTCCGTTGTGTTTCATGAAAAAAAATTCTTTAAAAGTATGTATAATCAAGGAAAGAACTTTCGTTGTAGAAAACAATGCATTGTATTATTCTTTCCCCTTCCTTGAAATACTTCTGCCTCTATGACTGTAAAGCAAGTGCAGTCTTTCATCATGTTAATTAGAAAAAAAAGTAAGTTTTTAAAAACATTCAAAAAATGACACAACAGAACGATACAGGTTTTAGGGGCCTTTATTTTAACTTGCGTTTATGCTTAGGTTGAACAAGTTATTGTATGCATAGTCAATCCACTGTAAAACCCTGTTAGTTAACGTGCAAAGAAACATCTCTATACACTTGCATTATATTTATACATGACACATAGGAATAGTTATGTGTTTTTGTTTTGACAGATATCAGACTTGATACATGTTTCTGTGGTGGCTCCATCATAGTGAAATACAGATATCTTTATGCTTTGTTACTGTCAAAGTTACAATGTCCAAGGGAGCTGCTCTAATCTTAGCAGGATGTTGCTTGACAGACTGTTTGTCACAATTACTGATCTTCTGACTGATTAGAGATACTGCAATATTGCTGTGGGTTCTTTCCCAAGTATGTTTTTTTTGTGGTTTGAGAACATCTTCTACAAATTTTCAAAACATCAAAACTTATGGGGAATCTTAGCACCTTCTCTTAAGAGACAGCAATCTTTAAGAATAAGACAGGGAAAAGAATATACAATCAGAAGAAAATTTTGTTGGAAATAGCTATTCTAGATATTGGGACAAAAATGTGTTTTATTACTAAAAAAAAATCCTCAGTTTTTAATTGACTTTGAAGAATTACTGAACTTGAAGGTCTTGCTTTTAAAATTGTTATAAACAATGTGAATGAAGTATTTTCCCTTTTTTTGTGTTATTAACTGAAGCCTGGTATGAAGTTATTAGTGAGATATCAAAGTTTTACGCTCCCAGTGTTGTTAGCTTAAAGTTTGAAGAGCATTTTATTAGAAAATGAACAAAAACTTATGAAAAACATGTTCTTAGTTACAGATTTCTCTGGTTTTTAATTGGGTTCTCTGGTTTTCAGATGTCCGGCTACGAAAACTGGCTGGAGAAAAGGAGGAATTATTGTCCCAGGTAAAATAAACTATTCTTTTCAGAAGTAGACCTTTGTGTATCCTTTTGCAGACTATCAGTATACTAGCAATAAATGCAACAAAGGTGCTTAATCAAATACTTAAGCACTAAAGCAAAATAAAATACTGAACTTTTTACCTGGCTGGCTATCAGGAATTAGCAGCTCCTCTCACTAGTGTCCTTATCCATGTAACTTTGATCTTCGTTGGTAAAGAACTCTCATTTCACTAACTGATTAGCTATAATCTAACTTGCTGCTGACTCCACTATTACAGCACGTACTTAAAGTTATTCTTCCTTTTATTTTCTCTTATGCATAAATAAGTCAGCAAAATTACATTCTCGTAAGCTCAAGTAGCATTTTCTTCCAAATTGCTAAGTGGTGCTATTTCTTTTGATCATTTCAGTTACTCAGATAGAAAATTATTATTAGCAAAGTAGTTCTATTTTCAGACAGTTCAGTATTGAGAAGAGAGGACTCAAGAAAGCATATAGCTATTGAATAATTGTTAAGTATACCATAGTATTTCTGCTTCTAGATGGACACATTGCAAATCTAAAGTGCTGTTGTCAATATTTGGTTTTGCTGGCTGTGCACCTTAATTTTACTAGACTTGGTTTAGAATGCCAATAAATGCTAGTATTGAATCAAGGATATTAAGTATAAGTCTTTAGAAGTCTATAAAGATGTATATGCATATTTGTCACCATATAATTGTAAAAATCACTGTTAAAATATGTGATTTAAATCATGAATTGGAGTTTTGCAAGTATTAACTCCCATATTGCTAATCTGTAGGGCAATATTTTGATGAGAGTCAAGAGAGTAGCTCCAACTTCTTTCATAAACTCCAGACACAGAGGACATAGCTGAGGAATCTGTTCCCTGACTACTGGAAAAATCCTGAGACAGTTGCTGTAGCATGAAATGGAACCACTTAATACTAATGTGCTCTACAGACATGCCTAGGGCCATTGCTTCCAGGTGGAGTAGAAGAGAGCACCCGAAAAAGCCATGGATTATTCTTTCTGTAAACTCACCAGGATATTGTTGATTATCTTCATAAGTGTTCTAGAGTGTAGAAGACATACTGTAGACATAATACCTGAACAGAGTTTAACGCTACTGCCTCTTCTGGAAAGGCAGCTCTGTTTAGTTACTGGGTGCCCCTGCATTGCTCAGATATCCCTGCAGCCATGACCAGACTGGTCGGTCTGGGCTGTGTGTTGCACTCGTCCAGCTGTGGGGCTGGGGGACTGCAGCCACAAGCCTGAGGCTTCCCAGCCTCCCGCTCAGGGCTCTGACTCCCACTTACAGAACCATCTCAGGACTGCTTTGCGTTTTTCCCACTGAACATTTAGATACGCGGATACTGAACCTCTGGGAGTCTCTTTTTCATGAAAGAAACACTTCTGTTTCAGGTTAGAAAACTGAAGATGCAGTTGGAAGAACAACGACAGAAATACTCTAAAAGTGATGGCATGAATCCAGATATCATAGGCTTAGAGAATGGCTCTGACTTGCAGCTAATTGAAATGCAGAGTAGGTATATGGCTACTGTTCAAAGGCATTCTTTTCCTATGTAGCTGTGCGGTAATAGTATTGTGAATGAGTATATTGTTGAGCAGTGAAGTTCTTGTTGGTGTATCTCCTTGCAGGAAATTTCTCTCTGCAGAATAGCTTATAAATCTGCCTCTCTGTTGAACAACAACATTCTGGGAAGCTATTTTTCAGTTGATGACCTTGCCTAGAATGGGTGCCACTACTTGAACAATTTCAAATTTTAGATTATAAAATTTCATCTGAGATATTTTGTTAATATATTCTGCCTTCTATTATTTTGTTGAATCTTTGATACGGAACCTTAACCGAAAAGGCTATTATTCTCTGAAGCAGAACATGAAATATGAAAGTTGAAGACAATACTCATTGTTGCTTCATAGAAAAACTAAGTTACTTTCAACTTCAAGCAAGCTATTTCTTCAGCTGAAAACTTTGTTTGACAGATTGTCATTTAATATGCTTGTGGCAATGAACATGAACAGAGCACTGGCAATATCAGGGCTAAAATATAACCAAAATAATTTGCAAAGCTCTTTGCAGTTTGTCAGGCAGGTTCAAGCCTTGTGGTCCTTATCATTCAAATGTTATTACAGATATCTACGCTAAATGCTGCTGGTATTATGTCTATTGTGATTTGACCCATTTTGTAGTGTGTGTTTGTTAGTGTTGATTCTCTTTTTTGAGATGAGTTTGCTGATCTAAATATGTGCATTTTGAAAGATACCTCATTTATACATCTGAGATTTAAAGCACACCCTTACAGAGACAGTTATGTTCTCTAAATAACAGGAAGATTATTTGCTTTTCATACTCTCAAAAAATATTTCTGAAAGAACATTTACTGCTTTATGATCCTGTATACGAGCTTCTCAATAAAATGGTCTTTTTAATGAATTTTAATTAAAAGGGAAACTTCCCATTTAGAGAGTTGCTTTGAGTAATACATTCATGTCACTTTTTGTCTAGGAGATGCCAACAGACAAATTAGTGAATATAAATTTAAGCTTTCAAAAGCTGAACAAGATATAACTACCTTGGAACAAAATGTAAGTGTGTCTGTCTTCATATTTATTGTTATTACACTTACTCTGTACACTTTTGCAATAGTTTTGCAACAAAAAATATGAATACGTGCTTCATGATTTGATTTACTGTTTGTTCTTTAGTTTGCACAGGATGGCACTACATTTGTGTGTTCATATTTCCTGCAATTCAATACCTGTGCATATTCTAAGCATAAAAAAAAATAATCTGGAGTTAATTTACTAAGATGTGAATGTACGACAGAATATAAAGACGAACTGAAGCTACTCGTTCGAGAAAATCAGTTTAACTAGCTTAATTACTTGTAAGAAAGTTGTATAGACTGCGGAAGGTACATAATTTACTCTCTGAAATTCAAGAGTTTGTTTTTATGGCTATACATATATATATGTACACCTCACACTGATGTACTTGCGTTTTGTTATTGTGAGTAACATGATGTTATAGTTCCACATCTCTGTAGATTACCTAAAAGTCACATAAAGGATTATTATTTGAATCAGATGCATAGTTGGTCTCTCTTGCACAGCAACAGACTACTAGGCCGTCCTGTGGATTTAGGGGTAGCAGGGCGCTATAAATGTAACAGTCCAGCCAAGTGGGCTTTAACACCTGCAGATTGCAACCTGGTGTCTGCTTTCAACTTTTCAGCTTTTGTTTTTAATGTTCCCCAATTCTTGATTTTTTTTTTTTTTTTTTTAAATTCTCTCTGCTTAGTTCCTCAGTCTTCTGTATCTTCTCAGATGTGTCCTATGCTATATTCCATTCTCTACTGGTTCACATGACCCTCGTCAGGGAGGGACAGGCAGTGAAGGGTCTTCTGAGTTTCTGCCTGCAATTTATTTTACTGTTTTTCTTTTAAATATCCTTTGCAATTATGGCTGTTGTTAACACAGTTAAACCCCCTCTTTCCAGAGGGAGATACTATGGATAATTCATGGGATGCCTTGTGTTATGGTCGCTTCTCAGAAAGAGAGAGGCAGGTGAGCTCAGGGTGGAACACCTGAGTAATCTCATTCCTTTTGTCTTGTTTGGCTTTGCAGATTATACGACTTGAGGGGCAGGTTGCAAGATATAAAAATGCAGCAGAAAATGCAGAAAAAGTAGAAGATGAACTCAAAGCTGAAAAGAGGAAGCTTCAGCGAGAGGTAATTGACTTGATTTCCTTTTCAGCTTTATGCCTCTTTCAGCCTTGAACTGCTGTCTTTTGCCTCCAAGCTCTGTTTTTCTGTAATCTTTGGTCACGGCTTTTAAATGTTTTTGGAGGAGGCCTCCGAGTCTATCAGTGTTGCATTCAGAAGATAAAACTGTAGCCCATAAAAGCAATACTAATTACAATTCAGTGAAGTACTTCCTTGAAAGGAAGGATCACAAGTTGTGTTTTCTTCTAAATGTGATAACTTGTACTATTTTAAACTAATACTTCCATAAAAATTACTGGGGATTCAAATGCTTCCTATGTCAAGTGCCAGCCTGCGAAGTTTCCAGCATGCACGTTTCAAGGAGCTGGGAAGAAGCTGTATTTAACTGAGCTGTTGATGATCCTTGCCTAAGAGCTGCTGCATGACTAGCATGATGCCTGCTACCAACAGGAGTATATATGTCCATCAGCAAGTAACAATGGTGGAGAGGACTTTACCTTTCAAAGCATGCCGTAGGAAGTTGCACCTGGTTCTTTTGGAATGACTACATGTAATGTTTCAATTGCTTCCCAATTTTTTTAAGTTAAATTGCACCTCACCGCACTAATGACAGTGTTATGTCTTACCTTATGTGGCACTCTTACAAAGCATATAATACTCGTATTCCTGATTTAATTTCCTCTGTCAAAGCTTGAGAATAGCAGAAAGTCCAAGTAAACTTTAAGCGATCATAACTTTTGCTTTCATTTTGTAGTTAAGAACAGCACTGGATAAGATAGAAGAGATGGAGATGACCAATAGCCACTTGATGAAAAGGCTGGAGAAGATGAAGGCAAATAGGACTGCGCTTTTATCTCAACAGTGAAGTGGGAATTGAGAATGTGATGCACTGCTCCTTGAATAACTAGCCCCTAGCTTATTTTTAAATACAGACTTTCATTGGCACAAAGTATTTGAACACTGAGCTGTTTGCTGGTGTTTTAGTTTCATAATTCAATGGCATACTTCTTGTAACTTATGAGAGAATGAAATGTAGTTTGAATTCCTATGTGAATGACAGCAATTTTTGTGTAGCGTTCGATTCTAGAGTCAGAGCTGGAGCACAATGCTGTATGTTCGACTTGGCAATAGAAAATGTTTATACAACTGTGGAATCAAGTTTACTCACATTCTCTTTTGGCTGCTTTAATGATGCTTGATGCTCGGAGACAACTGCATGAATTCAAGAAGACACTGTATTACTGTATTATAAATTAACATACGTTTGCTCAAGACATCACACAGCACAAGTGCCTTTTATCTGGTGCAATTTAGACTTCATTGTTGGAATAACCTTTGAAATCAGATAACATTTTATTTTAAGATACATTTGGGGTATTCACTAAACTTTATACATTTTGAAAATACATTTTTGTAAAATATTTAAATTTATAAGAAAAAAATAGGGACTGTATATAAAAATCTGCTTTTTTGCATGGGCACATCCTAGTTCTAGGTAATTTTGTCAAATACTAGCCCCTGATACTCTTAGTATTAAGAGTGCAGATTTAAAAACTTTGGCTATACACCTTCAAATTGTCATCTGCTGCTTAAGTGTGAATTGAAATTTTAGGGTGGGAGGAAGGGGTGGGAAGTGTGGCTAAGGAGTTTATTAAATGGACACTTTACTGACCAGAACCAGATGTTTTGTGTTTTCTTTTAAATACTGAGATACCAACAGGACAGAGCAAAATCCTTGCAGAACAGTAAATTCTGATCTCCATGTTCTTGCAAAGTATCTTTACGGCTTTGAAATAGTGAGTGTGAATATTTTTTTTCTGATTTCTTATCCTGGTCTGCCATTCTATGACAGCACTGCCATGGAGGAGGGGGACAGTACAAGGAGAAGGTGCTTTCTGGAACGGTGTGGGATTTGTCTGTATCCTACTCTCTATGGACAGTGAATGCTGTTAAGAACTTCCACACTTTTTAAGCTGGCACATCACAAGTGGGAAGTGTGCAGCACCTGCAGTGGCAATTCTGAAGTATTTGAAATGGCACTGCCCATGTGTTGGACTTTGCTTGAGGCCAGCAGGAGCCCAGCATTTGATCCGAGAGGAATCCCTCTGTTGGACTTGTATCAGGTGCTTCCCTGTTGCAAATTGCTACCTTTCAGGAATATTTCTGAAAGCAAGGCAGGTTTTGGGACCTTTGCAATCCAGCGGGTTAGTGCTTCTGCTTGTACCAGAGCTGCTGCTTTCCAGAGAACAGACATCTTGACAGTGCATAACTGAAGCTTTCTCTCTCTTCTGGTTTGGATGCCTCTTGGACTTGGAAAAGAAAATGCCTTCCCTGTTGAGAAGCTTCCTTGTAAGTAGCAGCTCTCCCTAGGCCTACGTAATTAATAGGAGACAATTGTAATTTGGTGATCACAGATCATTGTCTGTGCTCACTCTGTGCAGTATGTTGTGTACGTGTTCAGAGGAATCTCTCAGGATCTGGATTAGTTGTTCGTAATAGTGTGTATTCTGAAGATAAAGGATTACTTCAGGGGTTTTGAGAGTGTTCACATGTACAAACCTCTGCTATAACCTCATCTGGCTTGTGGTGGGGAGCACATGTCCTCCTAGTTCACTTCCTTTAAACCATCCTGTTGAAGCTGGACATCTTCTGGCACAAGGAAAAAGGATTTCGATATTAAACTGTGACAGTCAGATAAGGAGTTAGCAACTCGGAGTTACCAGTCTACTGCAAAAGTTTTTCTGGAGCACAGGTAAAGCATCACTACATCCTTTTTAAAGACTAAGATTTGTAGTTTTTTTAAAAAGTTGTTTATTATTGCAGAGCTCTGTTAGTGTAGCAGTTTTAGTTGTAGAGCTTCCCCAATTCTTGCTACCAGAAAAACAAAACAAATTCCACAAAATACTCAGAACATGAGATCCCCAACATCTGGACTAACTGAATAATACTGGATTATGTGATCTAGTATGACTCTTAAGGCCATCGAAAGAGCTAAGAGGGAACAGACCTAGGAAGAATTCATTGCAAACCTTTCACCTTTTTCCTGAAGCAACTCTTACCAGAAGTAAGAATAATGTTTCACCAAATTCTTACGGCTGCTTTCATGTAAATGGTACAGATCCAAATAAAAATGAAAAGCAAAGGCAGCAAATAAAACCCACATGATTATCAAGCCTGTCGCATTATTAAGTTTTCCTCGTAAAGCTATTACAGAATGACTTTGTTTTTCAAGCTTTGATTTTATGGTGCTGTTAGCTATAATGCAAGTTAATGTTGCAGCCTACTTAGAACGTATAAAAGGTCTGTCTGCTAATAGGGTTACACGAAAGTTATTGAAACAGTCCTCCAGCGTGGCTCGTGCTGCAAATAGCTGCCTGTTCAAAGTTTCACAGAATCACAGAATGGTAGGGGTTGGAAGGGACCTCTGTGGGTTGTCTAGTCCAACCCCTCTGCCAAAGCAGGGTCACCTATGGCAGTCACAGAATCACAGAAGTTTGGCCCTTGACATTGAACAAACATTTTAAAAGCCCACTTAGCTCACTCACTGGCCACCTTTTTAACTCCCCCTGCCCCAGCAGTCTAAGCAATCATATTTAGCTGGTGGCATAACAATCTTGTGAAGCAAAATCCTTGTTCACTTGCACGTGCCTGATTACCAGTTTCCTCCTGAAGAGTCCATATGCTGGTCAAGTCGGTAACTATTCTTTTAGGGCTGCTGGCAGCAGTCATCTCCTTTCTGGTGTCATCATTCTCCATTTCTATGGTAGTGTCTTCCCGTGGTCTCTTTCTGCAGCACAGAAACAAAACCAATGTTCTGTTCTCCTATTGCTGAGGCAAACCACACGTGCAGCAGATGGGATGTTCGATTCCCAAGCTCTACGTCTAACACTGAAAATACAAAGTGTTTCCCAAAGCTTCCCCGAGAGAAAGTTGGCTTTTTTTTTTTCACTTCCTAGGCAGAGTTTGTTAGAAAAGGGTAGTTTGTGAGTGAATTTAAGACTTGCTGATCACATCAGGATTCTAATCTTTAACCACCAAGTCAGCTGGGCTCTGAAGGATGCACCACAAAATGTCAATATTTCTAAGGATTTTTCATTCTGGTTTTCCTGTGATACTGGGGGATGGGGGGGAGAAAAGTCTTTCCAAAGCCTGTCACCTTTCCTAACAGCTCCCTGGAGGAGCTATAAAAGATTACAGTGCTTTTATCTTTACTAGGGTAGTATCTGTGAAATTCATCAGTGGAGTTTATCTTTCTCTTCCCCCTCAAAAGGGAGACCTCCCAACAGAGTTAGACCAGAAAGAAATCAGAAAAGCTGTTAATTTCAGGGCCGTGACACAAAGGCAGCATTGCGTGGCCTTGGGAAAGATGAGACTTGCTGAGGAGGCACTGTCGGGAAACAAGGGTCCGCTCTCACTCAGCCCCCCAGGCATCAGTCACTGTGTCCCCCTGACCAGCAGCCACTTCAGCCAGACCACCCTCATCTTCCCCCTCAGCGTCCTGTGGCCTGGCTGCACCCTCTGGACATCGTGGTCCCTGCACTGAGCGGTTGTTCCCCAGCTGGAGAAAAGCATCCGATTTCTGCGCTCGGGAATCAGTGCAGAGTGGAATTTGGATGTTTACAGACAAAAATTTATCTAGAGAAATATATCAAAGTGTTCTGGAGATTGTTGAGATGACCTGGGTGGTACCATGAAAAGCAATAACAAGAGAAAAAAAAGAAGACAAGAGGTCATTTTGTCTTGATACAAGTACAGGTATGAAGAATTGTAAGTAATAATGACTGATGCTGCAATGGCAATAGAGCAAGCTCTTTTTTTAATCAAAGCACAGTTGATTTAACCAGAACCAGTGTATCTGTGCCAGGCAAGTGAGTAGTGGCCTCATGACCTGACCAGCGTAGCTGGAGACCACAAATCGCTTGTCGGCCAAATGAAAAACAATCGTTAGCCGTAATTACAGAAAGAAGCGTACAGGGAAAGTTGTTATTTCTGGTCAGACCAGCCAAGGTTTAGTTGAGGAAAAAAAGTGTAAGTTGAGTTTAATCATCAGTTGGGTAATTTCAGAGAAACTCGCCTGCAAGGGGACAGAGAGGGCTTTCAGTGCCTCTTGCACGCAGGGTTATGACCAGTTGCTTCCCACAAAAAGGCGCACAGTTAGTAGACAGCGGGCGTGAGTATAATCGTAACATGGCTTAATACCAGTATTCTTAAGGAGGGTGTGATGTTTAACAGCCAGCACAGCTGGATCTTCCCTCGAGCTCGCAGTGGTTTTTTTTGGCCCATGGAGAGTTACTGGGGTCTGACAGTTTGTTAGGGGACACACAGCAGTGTCGGAAAGCTAGAGAGAAACCAGGTTCTCCCTGTTTGTCTTTTGTGGGCCATTACATGCCAAGAAGCAGCCTCCGGGCTATCCAAGGCGCTTGTGGCTCTTCACGCTGAACTCCAGTGCGACCGTGGGTCCCCGCAGCCTCACGAGGAGACCCTCACCCCACAGGGCACGCTGGAAACCAGGAGCTGTTAACTGCAAGCCGCTCGCTGATACCACCCCCAGCAACGCCAGTGAAGCTCAAAGTGAGCGAAGCCCACGATGCCCTTCTGAGTCTAAAGGGAGAGAATCAATGCCTGAAGTTTCAGATCTTTTATTTACAAACACTGCTTCAGTCACAGCAAGTGCGGGCGCCTGCTGAGGTATTTGGAACACTGTCTTTGTCCTGCAGCAGTGGAGAGCGTCAGAATTGACCTCAGATAATCCTGAGATCTCCTGCTGGACTTCAGCGGCTCCTGACAAGCCAGTTAGCTACACAGGGGACATCTTGCTGGGTTTCCCCCAGTTCAGGTCGTTAATACTTCCCTTTTTTTTGCTGCTGCTCCTTCGGTAAGGAGAGCAAGGGCTTTCTGTTTAATGGACATTCTGTGAGACCTGGTTTACCTAGAGTCCAGTTTTCTCACAACTTTGTTGTGAGATGTGTATTTGTGTAGCTGAGTCACTGTCCCTCCATTAGGCAAGAGCGTCAGCCTCGCGTGGGCACCTGTCTTCAGGAGTTGCTTGGAAATTACTGCAGTCAGTTGCTGGGCCAGAAAGGGCAGGGGCTTTGTGATGTGGTGGCATCCCACCTTCCCGTCCTCGCTCTGGTCCTTTGATTCTGTCTGCCAGGTAGGCTTCTGTTTTCTGAAGTACCTCCGTTGCTTCGTTCCTGCAGTCGTCCATGCAATTTGCCTGTGGAGGTGAAGGAGAGGGCTGGCTCTAAGAGTGGCAGAATTTGGGTTTCCTTTCCCTCCTCTGCTGCCAGTCATCTGCAGCCTTGCTCTCCTGGGGACTACCTGTCTTGTTTCTGCTGCTTAATCACAGTGAATCCTTTCTTGTTGGCAGAATGTGGGAATGTTTCCCTACTCTGCTGCCAGTCATCTGCAGCCTTGCTCTCCTGGGGACTACCTGTCTTGTTTCTGCTGCTTAATCACAGTGAATCCTTTCTTGTTGGCAGAATGTGGGAATGTTTCCTTCGGTGCCTGTAACGGTGCCCGTTGTCACTGGACGAGAACGTTGTGTGTAAGTAGCT